CTTTTTGCTTTCAGGGTTTGCAAACGTGCTTAGTTGCCTTGCTATCAAGGTACGGTAACTTCAGTGCATTTTCATATATCTGAAACAACTGATGAGTACAGCTTCCACGAAAGGAGTTAGCTCACACATTGATCTCTTAATCACACAGTATATACTAACTATAAGCAATTAAAGAACAAAAATGTTAAATTAGCTGCATTCTTAATTTCTTGCAGGTGGTTCAAGAAAGCTGGAGAGTCGTTTATAAAATTACCCGTTTTGGGGGCTATCTCATACCTTACACTGGCTGTTGCGCCATTCTGCATAGCTTTTGCTGTTGTCTGGGCTGTGGAAAGAAACAACTCTTTTGCATGGATTGGTCAAGATATACTCGTAAGAATGATTTACTGAAGTTCAATATCATTGTATCTTTCGACCTCCAGAACAAATAAGTAGATAAATAGAAAATAACGACCATCTAATCCTTTTTTGTCATTTTGCTCATAAAAGGATGGTTTTATTTTCGATTGACAAAAAAATACGTTGATCAATCAAAGACAAAATCAAGAAGTGAACACACATTTGTTTGGTGAAGGGCCGCATAATCTCATATTATTTTTTTCTGAATCAAATAGATGATGTTTTGTAAGATAAACATATCATGTGTTACAAATTCTATTGTAAAAACTATTTATTATCAGTGTAATATTTCATCACATTAAATGCAACGCTTTTAACACTTTTGCCTGACCAATTTTCTGAACACTTCTGTGCCTGATCAGGGAGTTGCGCTTATAATTACTGTTCTTCAGATAATCCGAATCCCTAATCTCAAGGTAATAACACTAATCAAATTTGTACGTTGTGCTAGGCTACATAGTTTAATGAACTTTTTCTCATTTATATCATGTTATCACACATGGCTTATGAAAAGGTGATAATTATGTACAAATTTGATATATTCTTACACTCTGTTTGAGCTGTGAAAATCATGAGGATAAAACAGCAAGAATTATTACTAATAATGACTAGATAAAACAGCATTGTGAGGATTAAATAATTTATGACTACCCTCTTGAAATTCTTCCGATTTTCTATCAAGAATTATTGAGTTATTGATCATCAAGATTATTACTATAGAGGCATCTAAAAGCTCAAACATTTTTTTTTTTTTTGAATATTATCTCTTGAACTTTCTACGTAAAATGGGGTTTTGTTTATATATATATTTTTTTTCCAGGTAGGCACAGTCCTCTTAGGCTGTGCTTTCATTTATGACATCTTTTGGGTGTTTCTTTCCAAGAAACTGTTCAAAGAAAGTGTAATGATTGTGGTAAGTAGATATCTAAAATATTTACGGGGATCTTGTCAAGTAGTAAACACTAATTTTTAGCCGTTAATTTTTTAATTTTATTTATTATCAGGTAGCGCGTGGTGATAGAAGTGGTGAAGATGGAATCCCAATGCTTCTAAAGATTCCTCGTTTATTCGATCCGTGGGGTGGATACAGTATCATTGGCTTTGGGGATATCCTTTTGCCCGGACTTCTTGTTGCATTTTCCCTTAGGTTCGGTTTTCTCTTTTATTTTTTATTCAATTTTTTTTTTTTTTTTTTTTTT